ACAAGTGTTGATATATTTATTAATAATCAAATTATACTAATAAATAATCAATTGATGGTAACTTGTTATATGGTGTCACCCTATAAGATCATATATTATTAACAATATCATTCTATAATGACTATTTGGCATACTAGATCTTTCACTTTTGATTGTTGGATATGTATGATATGTATGGCTCGTATGATATGTATGGTATGTGGTATTTGGAGAACTCACTAAGCTTTGTGCTTACCGTTTGTGGTTTACGGTTTCAGGTACTTCCGGTTCGAAAAGGAAGGGTCCGGCTTGATCGCAACGCATACACCCGTGTTTTTCCGCAATTTGTGATTTTGGGATTTTACTCTGATAATTGTTTTACTCTTGAATACTTTAAATGTTTGAATAAAGATAAATGAATTTTTGAATATATATTAAAATTGAAATTTTTACCATATGATTTTCGGGGTGTTACATATATGGGCATGTTCGGCGAAACTAGCTGGTAACGGGTAACGGGTAACGGTTAGCCGGTAGCATTTTGTTAAACGTTACGTGAACTTTTGGATTTAAAGCATTTTGTTTAAACTAAACGTTAGAAACTTGTAGTGCCAAATGAGACTTTTTGTTTAAAACGGAGTGTTTTATCAAACGCTAGAAGCTCCTAAACGCTCCCAAATGTTCCGTGCCGAACATGCCCATATGTTTAAGAGCTTTGGCTGCATTACTACGTCGAAAGAGATGCAAACTTTTCGATGACCAATAGAGCTTATAATGTTTGTTAGCAATTTATTTTAATATATATGGAAAATGAGATAGTTGGAAATATTAGAATATTATGATTTAAGATCTTGTATCATACTATCATCCGGACAAGATCAATACAATATTAGATGCAACCATTTTGTATGGTTAATAACTCATTAAAACACGAGTAATATTTGTTAATTCTAAGAAGGATAAGTTTGTACTAAATTATACTTCATTGGAACTAAAATGTTGATCAATCAATTCATTCATACTAGTAAGGAACATCAAATTTTTCTACGTAACAAATTGATCATTGCATTAGAATTCACCTCCATCCGAAAACAACCTTTAAATATCTAGAACTAGAACTTGGTCAAACAAAAGTTGAGATTCCATTTCTCCACTTTCCTTTAAACTAGACGTCACGTAATAAAAAACAAGAAAGAAGTCAACAAAAGAACGTATAATTAGCTTTTAGTGCTCAAATGACAGTTACAAGTGATCACCACTTGACTCTAGTTCAACGTTCGACTCACTTTAAGATAAATTCACAAAAATAACTTAATTTTTTAGCCAAAATAGCAAATAAATATTATTTAACCAAAAATAGTCAACAAAACCACAGAGAAGGCTAACACGTCTGTGGTTTCATCGTTTGACATGGTAACTTGTATACGGTTTCGTCAAATGGGCTACAGCCTACAGCTTCACGGCCTATTAGCTCAATATATTTTAATCCTAAAAAAAATTCTAGATCATTTTTCAACTTAAGGATATGAGAATTCTCTATTTGATGGCTAAAGAAGACGTCCCACAAAATTATGTTCTAAATATTTTTTATTATATACGTTGAAATTTAAAAGTAATGTGTATTATTTTTGTCTAGAAATCGGAAAAATAAAGAACAAAACCGCAAATGGCATGACCGTCTGTGATGGTACAAGTCTTTAATGCACAAAATGTGTCCTTCAACGAATTGTACATTCATAGATGACTTGAGAGGAAACCGTAGATGCCATCTGTGATTTCGTGTCTTCGAAAATGAGCAAAGTGATTTTTTTTATATAGATAACATGAAATTATCGTTGGCTATTTTTGTATAACACGAATTTTTGACCAAGTCATTAAAAAATTAGGTTATTTTTATAAATTTCTCCACTTTTAATTGACTTTTCAAACATAACAATTTTAAATTCAAGACATTATGTATTTTTTTTAATATAATAGAACATAATCAGGGTCGTGAAAATCTTTAAGATATAGTGTCATGGAAAAAAAGGCGTTGATACCTTTATTGAGAAAGAAGCAAAAGGGCAGGGGTGCAGCACCCGCAGTGGACTAGAATCGTGTGCGCTTGTGTGGAGTGTGGACTGGACCACAACCACCACCCTCTCCCGGCCTCTAGTGGTGCAGTGTGCCTTTGCCTTTTATCCCTATCCTATCAATCATTTTATCTCTGTTCATTTCCACACCACTTTAAAATCCAGATACACTTGTTTAAATCATCATATCATCTTTTATTCAAACTAAGATAGGACAATACGAAAAGAAAATTTGGGCAACAAAACTAACAATTCTCCATTAGTCACTTCAAATGACGTTTAACATCACATAACAATGGCTCATAATCTGTGTATTTGTAAATTCCCGTTTAATTTTGCCTCTAATCTTATTGATAGTTTTTGGTTGTAGAATCATCCACAGGGTGCCAAAATCTATTGTAAAACATGACAGTGTCGGCTCTAACAGCATATCCATCTGAATTACGGTGCCAGCTGTAATACGCATGTGTTCGATTCTTGATCTCTAATGTTGCGTGACCAAAGCTCGCTTCTCTAAATGCTGAATATTTTGGTTGTGGCTCTGTCATACTACACGTTCATAAAAAACAATTGTTATTCAAATTATATTTTAAAATAATGAACTTTTAATTTAATATAAAAAATATCCAAAGTTTATTCTCACTTGTTTGCTAAGCCTTCAATGTTTCCGCCGTCTCCAATGGTTATATACACAGGGGCAGATTGGTCATGTGCCGGGGTGCATTCGCCATTCACAATGTTATACGCAATATTCGATATACGTTCCTGCATAATAATTCATAAAATTTTAGATTCATATATAAATGTAATGTGGTAGTAACATTTTGGTATTTTGGGACAAGCTTTCTAGGACCATTTTCGCTAATCATGAGAACAGGGCATAAACGTCTTTTACACTCGAGAAAGCAAGTCCCTGTCCCACCTTTTACATTTTTGGGTGGGACACAAAATTACAGTTTTTATCAGACATTAGTCCCAGTCTCAGTCTAATACACACCAAACACAGTACGAGTCTTGTAACTTACTGAGCGTTCATAAGCATGAACATGACCGGCGAACACAAGATCGACTTTGTATTGAACGAACCATGGCTCGAACATGACTCTCATGGTCTCGCCTTCCATATAATGGTAACTATTACTATTGTACCATGGAGAATGCATGAGAACAATTAACCATGGGGTTTCCTTTCTATTCACCTTTGGGAACTCCTCAAGGAGCCATTGGTATTGAGGAGTATACATACCTACACATACCACATTATATATTTTTTTTTATAAACTTTTCTATTAAATTATTTTTTTCAAAATCATATAAAAAACCACAATAACTAATTCATTACCATAAGCCGAATAAGAAGACAATACAATAATATACGCCGAAGCTCGCTTAATTGAATACCAAAGTGGTTCCGTACTTCCCGATTCCTTAAAAGGGACTCGGTAACGATGAAGAAACGGCTTAAACGGCTTCGTTTCACCCTGCATCATAACATATTGCTTGAAATAAATTTTACAAGTTTCAAAATATATAAAAACTTAGCAATTATTGGTAAAAGAATATAAGGAAAAAAATTAAAATGCATTATCCATTTTGGAGTTAATAAAATGACAAACATTAAATCAATTTATTTGAAGGGGGGACTTACGATACTTGGTTCATAATCGAGCTCATGATTTCCAGCAGTCCAAATCCATGGTTGAAACGCAGTACTACGTTCAGCGAATCTTCCCCAACTATCCCATCGTGAATTATCATGGAACTCGTAATGATCGGCGTACGATAGATCACCAACAAACAACACCGCTTGCCCTTTCACCGGATTCATTTCATAATGCGTAAGAGTAAGATTCGAATCATACGTCTGACCAAGATCCCCTGCAAAAAATTTGTCAATTAGGGTGAATTTGTGAACTAGTTATCGAGAATTCAAACCGAAAGCTTACCCATGATTCCGAAAGTGTAGGGAACATCAGGTCCGACCGGCGGAGGAGTCGTGAACCAGAACCTCCGTGTGGCGCCACCGCTTCCGACCTCGTAATAGTACTTGGTGTTAAACTGCGTCGATTTTTTATCAAATTAAACGATGAAGTTTGGAATTTAAAGATTGAATATGAAATAATTGAAATCCCAATCCCAATCCCAATCCCAATCCCACCTCTAAGTTCTTGATTTTGCAGTGATGAATGAATCCAGAAGTGTAATTATAGTATTTGTAAGTAGTGATTCTGCCTGTTGACTTGAATTTTTTATTGTTTTGGGACCAATAAACCACTGTGCTCGAACCAGGCTCATCTTGAGTCACCCAAGACACTATAACAGCTCTTCCCACATGGTCTCCTTGTGTTATGTGCACCTATCACAGACCCAACCAACGTACAACATTTAATGCACAAGTTACAGTCATTATAACACAACTGTTTTCACTATTCGACAGGATTCATTAATGGATTCTACATTAACCCATTTCGATAAACTGTTTCGAATCGAAAAAATCACAAAAAAGAGTACCTGTTGAGGAGCATTGTAACCGGGAGGATGAGAGAAGACATCGCTATGGAAAGGCATGTCGATGGATTTAGCTTCTTTTCTAACGAAAGAGCTTGTGATTCCGCCATTGGAGAATGCTCCATGGTAGATCGTTAGCAGGAGAACCAAGAAATAAGCGTAAACCCCCATTTGTGAGTGAAAACACAGGGGTGGATCGTGTTTTGGGGGGAGGGAAGAGAGGATTTTATAAGCAGATGAGAGTGAGAGTCAACACTTTTGGACTTTTGGTATAATATTCGGGAGGCCGATATTTAATCGAATAAAAATAAGAGTATATGTTCGTTCGGTTTCAGAAAGATTTTTGTCTTTGTATGTTATCCGTCGATTTAACTATATATAATTTTCTAGTAATTTTGACCAACATGTTTGTTTGATTAGAGATGTAACTTATATGGAAATAAATTGATCTTTTTTATATTTTTTTGGTAAGAAGTTAAAAATGTATTTATTTACAGCTTTTACAATATAATATTAAATTAAATCATTATTTTAATAGTATAATTTTTATAGTTTCATTTATTGTGTTAATCATTCATTTAATAATTGCAACGACAAAAAAAAAAGTTGTAGATAAATATAAACCACACAAAAATAATTGAGTCCTTTTAACTTTTAACTCAGAACGGAAAGGCTCGTTTTCCATATATATGTTTGATTAATTAAGTTGATTAAATCTTTATTAACCTCAAATAATAATTTTATGTGTGTGTGAAACACATCATTATGAATGTGAATCTGGTTTTATTTAAGATCATCATCAATAATAGATATGACTTTTTGAACATGATTGATAACAAAATCCGACATTAAGATTTTTATTTTGTCAATTTTTGATAAAACCCTTTCTCATATTGAGATTGAACGATTAATGACATCTTTAAAAAAGTTAAGACTTTTTTTCTTTATAGTTATGGTATCTTATTTTAAAAGGAAATCTACTACAAAGTCTTTATATTCAATTAAGTATTTATATTATTTTTTTTATTACGTCCTCAATACCAATAAGTGTATTTATTTTCATCATTTTTACAGCTCAACAGGTTAACCCACTTTCAAAATTTACACTTTTGAACAAGATTTTGAATTTTATTATAAATTTGGTCTAAAATTTATATTTTTGGTCTGAATTTCAAAATTTTATTACAAAATCATCATAAATTCAGTTTTTTTTTTTAAAATATTTTTTTCAAATTCTTTTTCGAATATGTTATTTTTGCTTTATAAAATCATATTTATATAAAAACAAAAAACATATTTTCACATAGAAAACCTTCTTTTTTCTATATAAAAACCTTTAAAAAACATTTTTTGTTAAAAAAAAAGGCTTTTATATGTCAAAAATATGTTTTTTTGTATAAATTTGGTCCAAAAGGTTTTTCACATAGAACGTTTTTTATGTGAAAATATGTTTTTATACAAAAAAACATATTTAGTTATGTTTAGAAGGTTTTTTTTATGTTCATTATTATTAATATTATTAGTTTTCATTTTATAATTTTTTACTTCTATAAAATTTGAAAAAAAAAAAACTATTTTTAGTCGGGTAAATATCTTGGTTTTTAAAAAATTATTCTTATTTGTGCATCTAAAAACGAATAACATGACAAAAATTATTTTTGTAAATATTTTTGTTTTTTTATCTGAAAAGTTTAAAATATGTTTTTTGTATTAAAAAACATATTTTCACATAAAAAACATTCTATGAGAAAAACCTTTTGGACCAAATTTATAAAAAAAACATATTTGTTCACATATAAAAACCTTTTTTTTTAACAAAAATGTTTTGTAAAAAAAAGGTTTTTATATAGAAAAAAAAAGGTTTTTATATGAAAATATTTTTTTTGTATAAATATGATTTTATAAAGCAAAAATAACATATTCGGAACAAAAATTTGAAAAAAAAAAACTAAATTTAGGATGTATTTGTAACAAAATTTTGAAATACGAGAAAAAGTGTAAATTTTTATTAAATTTGTAATAAAATTTAAAATCTGGGTCAAAAGCGTAAATTGTGAAAGTGCGAAGAACTATTAACCGGAAAAAAAAGATGAAAATGAACACCTTTACTAATTTACTGGTATTCGGCACATAATCAGAAAAAAAAAATCTTATATAAGAACTTAATTATAAAGTAAAAATATAGGGATTTTATAGTAGACTTTATTTTTAAAAATAAACTTTGTGATATTTGCTTTTGAAGCGATCATTAAATTGGCAGGTTATAAATCACGATATAGATATAGCTTTTAAAAAAAAATCTTAACCTATATTTTGATAAAGAAAAAAGTATGTAACGAATACATATATGTAGGTTAAAACGGATTAAAAGGTTGGATATTTTTATGATTTAAACAATACACTATAAAGTAGTATTTGTAATCTGTAATAATAATAATAATAATAATACTGTTGGTCATATGGTTTACAAAAAATATCATCTTAAGCATAACTATTAAAAATATTACATGTTTGGTCCTTATCATTTCAAAATTATGTATAGTTGGTCATTTTCTCTAACCCCGATGAGATGTTAAATCTAAATAAAATGACTAAGTTATCCTTAATTTTGTATTTTGTATTAGTTCACAACTCTTTTAAAAAAAAATACAAGGACCAAGTGTGTAAAGAAATAAATAAATAACTTAAATAAGAACCCTAATATTTTCTTCATTCTATCAGTAACATCTTGTGTTTTAGGCTAAAAGTTTTTGGCTTTTTAGTAAAAATAATTTTTTTTCTTTAATTTAAAATAAAATAAATCAAAGTGAAATAAATTAAATAATGGAAATGTGAGGAAATGATGATGATGATAATAATCTTGTCATTAGTTGGTATTTTTTAAAATAATAGAATTTTAATGTCTAACGAAGTATTTTGGTTAAAATGGTCATTTGCGTCAAACAGGTAAAACTTAGGCTTGACTTGAGAGTTTACCAATTAGGAATCTTGACCCAGTTTGTAAAGCTTATGATGAAGAGGGACCATATGTGAGTTATTGGAAGTTCCTTGGTTAGTTTGGGAGCTTTTTTGAAGGAACATTGGTAAAGAGTGACTAAAGTTGTATAAGTGGGCATAGATGGGTCTATTTGAAGCTTATTTCTCCCTCATTCTTCTTCCTCGCGTAAATTAGCCAAATCCTCCCTTCATTGAACAATTTTCACTCCTTAATCTATGGTGTAATGATGCTTGAAGTCCATGTTTGAAGCATTGATCAATTTCTCTTACAACCTAACATTTAGAGGTAGTTTCTGTCACACCCCGATCCTTGTCGGAATCGATCGAGGCGTGATATATTGTTCAAAGTCTCATGACAACT